TTTTTGATAAAAAGTACAGGATCACGAACTTCATCGTCATGGAGATCACCCCGATCGGAATTCAAAGTATTGGCTGGAAGCTTTGGATTGTCTGGACGGTGTCCAATGTCCAATGCTGTTTTCCTACCTATCCTCTACTTCTTCTACCCGGAAACAAGTATGCTCAGATGCTGTCCCTTGTTTCCCTCTTACTCACTATCATTGTAGCCAATCGGAGTCTCGAGGATGTTGACGCCTATTACCGCACCAACCCATCGTCGATTGTGACTGGAGACCCGGATGCTATCTGCCGAAAACGCCCGCAGAAGTATATTGAGCGCGAAGATGAAGAGTTCGAGAGGACGGCTGTTGGTAAGGGAGCTATGCCTGTCGAGGCAGCAGAGCATGTGGAATGGACCGAGGCAGAGAGGCAGAGGCGAGTCTTAGACCGTCGTTGATGACGGACTTTACAAAGCCATAGCTATAGTATAAGCGGGGGAAGGATGACTTAATATCGCAAGAATGGGAATATATATACGTACGCAAGAATAGCTAGTAGCTATTTCAGTAATTGATTTGACCCCAACTATTAGATCTATATGATGCCTATATAGATTAGCATCGAATGAAATAACAAAGTGAATGTAAGTCCAAGCGAAGAATACTCACCAGATGCGGTGCTAGGTAAACTAATTACTCCTTTTTGATCCTAGTCTATTCCTGTAAGATCCCTGACCAAGCCCTGCTTTGATATTAGAACCATTCTTCTTTTTACAAACAACAAGGGCTATTCTAAACACGGCAGCCAATTTACCGTGTATCGAGCAGTCTTCCCATCTTGGCATCTCCGCTCTTTGCGGACACGGGTACATGCTTTATGAGAGTTCGAGGCAATTTATCCTGTTTCATATCGATATATTAAGCGGTCGCATTTCGAATAATCTCGGACGTTTCCAGCCTTTATTTTTAGGCATTGGCTAACGGGCTAACGTTAGCCTACCGGCAATTGCTTAGCTTGGAGTGAAATGCCGACTGCATGGTGGCGCAATTAGCGTTCTATTTTTTTTTGGACTCAAGAGCAATGTACGGAGTAGTCTTCAAGGGGTTCTGTATATGATAAATTATTCTGATATGTCAAAGGGAATATTCCAAATAAATCAAAAATCCCAAAAAAGATTCCATAATCCCAAACACCGAGCTATGCGCAAGTCAAACAGAGAGAAATATAAACGAGACCTCAAAGCATGAACTGACGATTAATAAAATGAAAATGATCGCTGTCCACCCAAAAACTTGATGGATATAGCAGGCGCAGAAAAGAAAAAGTGCAAAATGAGAATGGTTATCCCGGAACACCCCTTGCGCATGTATGTATGAATAGCCGTGTATTGCACGACGATTCGAGCTTCGATCCCATGATCATAGAAGGATGGTGGCAATGCTCTCTCTTTTGATGATCGTCCTGTCTGGTATTTCCGGTCTCTAAATGAAGGAAGCTTGGCTCCTGTTGCCGTATTGGGTTGATGAACCGATCAAATTCGGCGAAGATATGCTGGCTCCTTTGGAGCTGGTGGGTTTGTTTCGCGAAGAGAAGACTGACAACCGGCGGGAGAGCCGCTGGCTCATTCCTCGTGTCGGAGAAGACCAGTTATCGAAGGAGATAATGGACATCGGCCGCGACCGCGGAGGTCCGTGGGATGTCATCGGAGCCTCTGAGCGAGACGGGGGAGCTGTGAAGGGCCCGTCGTATACCATGGTCGAGCGACGCTTGAGCTTTTCGGTGGTCTGGCGAGCGTCCATCGTTAAGTCTTCGCGAATATCGCCTAGGACGTGCGAGACTCGGCGGAGTAGTTTGGGAGGTTTGCCGTAGATAGAAGGTTCTCGCTGCTCTAGGCCATAGACTTGTAGAGGGGTTGAGTCGGTTTCCTCATCCACGGGGGACGAGTAAAACCGAGGGTACTTGACAGTCATTGGGGTTCTGCGGGTGTTCAATGAAAGTGTGGATGTGGGGGGATGTTGGTATGGGGAAAGGTGCGGCTCGGATGAGACGCTGGAGGAATAGGAACTGTTTGATGCAGATGAAATCAACATGGCTTCCAAAGGCTGTGATCTTGCAGAAAGAGAAAAGAAGAGAGAGGGAGAAAAAAGAAAAACACCCAAGGGTACTCTGATGGAATTCCGAAAAAGACCAAAAGTGGATCAGAGAGACATCGACATTTTAGTCCCGTAACACTTAGATGACTCGTAAGTTTTATTTTATTTTTATTTTTGTTGTTTTTAACTAAAGATCTAAGCTATTCGAGTCTTGACTATTACTATTTACATACATACTATTCAGCATGATCAGCTGTATAAAAGTTGGAAGGCAAGGTCCATGTGGAAAGAAAACACTGGGGTGATCAGATGTCTCAAAGAGATCTGACAACATACAACATATATCCAATGACGCGGCAGAACAAAGCCACGATCGCTGTAATGCTACATTCTTCACGTAGAACCACTCCAACCATTCCAGTCATTCCATCCACGCCAACGCAAAAAGCAGCCGTGTTGCCACATTTCCTAAGGGGCGAAGACAGTGCATCCACGGTTCCCACCGGGAACTGTGGGCTCCTGATTCCCTGATTGGTCCGATTCCCGCTCAGGGGGGAATGGCGCCATGGTTCTATACTTTTTTATAGAAATTGGAATGAAACAGAAACAACGTCAGAGACATTTACTAAGAGACATTTACTAACTATGAAACAGAAGGTAAAGGCCTTGAAAAAAATACTATGTAATTACATTTAGTTCAAAATGTTATTACCTAGATAGGTAATAATATAATTTCGCCTGAGAAAGACGGCTTTTCATTGAGTTTTGCCGAGAGATCCACTGCAGCACAGGAGAGAACCACAGCCACAAACGAGGCCACAGGTCTGGGAGATGCGGGCGCATCGTATTTTCCGTACCATTATTGAACTATATTATAGTACTATCCATCCATGGATATGTGGTTCTGTTATTCTATTCTCTATGGTTTTACTAGTATGTTGGAAATATTAGCCATATTACTGTATCTACAATACTACGCAATATTGTACCGGGCTCTTCCCCGCACCGGGAGTCGGAAGTCATGGTGATTCATTTGCTAGATTTCGATCATGCCTGTCATAAGTACCCAGGTGCCCGGGCGAAAACTCTCCGATTACATCACAAAGAGGAGGTTGGTATCTGTCGATCTCGAGTTAGCTGGGGGCGGGGTCACACCGCTGAAAAAAATTAACCTACCAAGGGGATGGCTGCAACTCAGTTGCGGCTTCTGCGAGTATTTGCCCTCGAGCTCGTTTCGGATCGTGTTCAGCAGCTGCAGGTAACTCTGGTGTGGCCACTGTTGCAGTGATTTGATAAACGCCCAACTCAACGCACCACGCGCCTGTCCGTCCTGGAATGTGTCGGCCCTGTTTTAGGGTCAGTTTGGATTCTTATTTATTGCTTTAAAATTTTAAAGCTGCGCCACTTACGAGGTCTGTGTGTCCTTGGACCCTGAAAACATCACAACGTCGGCCGGAGAGGTCTTGGTCATGATTGTGCGCTCACGGGCCGAATCGCCGTTGACTGCCTTTTTGAAAAACCCGATGGCCGTCGATGCGACGCTAGAGAGATCGCCCTGTCCATACGAAGTGAATGCACTGAACAAGTCCTGAGCTGCCTCCTTGGCCAGGTTAGGCTCCTTGAGAACACCCTGCGTCGAGTAGACGTATGGCAGATCCAATGCAGTGCCCGAGTGGCAGGAATCGTAGATTGCCGTCAATCGCACTCCGGGCCGCAGTGGACGCACCATGATGGCATGCATATCATCGTCGACAATGTGACCGGCCTCGCGGTAGTCCAGTGGGTAGATGACATCGTCGAATCCATCGTCTTCGTCTCCATCCAGATCGGGAGTACGACCTCCGTGGCCAGAGAAGTGGATGAACAAGGAATCGTTAGGTTGGGCATCTTTGACGAGCCACTGCATGGCACGTAGAATGTTGGCCTTGGTGGGAAGACTCATCGGGTTCTGTTGGTCGTCGGTGAGAATGACCATGTCTTCCCGCTTGTATCCAAACCTCTGGGTCAGGAAGTTGGACATGTTAGTGACATCGTTGATACAGCCTTTTAGTGCATTGGGCTGTCCTGCATAGTTGATTCCGATCAACAAAGCCCTGCGGCGACCGGTGCAAGCCGAGTACTGGAACCTGTAGTTCGAGGGAGCACCTCCACCGAATTGCTGAAAATTCTGGGGTGGGGGTGGGGGCAGATTCGGGGAATTTGCACGAGGAAACCCTGTTCGATGGTTAATGATCCCGTCGCAGTTTCTTGACATATAAAACTTTACCATTCTGGGGGGCACTCAAATTATGCTGGTGGGGAGGACGAGGAGATGGAGAGTGGCCGTATGGCGGGGTATGAGAGTGAGGAGGATACTGAGGATATTGAGGCTGAGGATAAGGCGATGGCGGGTAGGGGGAATGTCTAGGACCCGGAGGATAACCGTAGGGCTGAGGAGGATAAGGCTGAGGAGGATAGGGCTGAGGCGGAGGTTGTTGATATCCTCCCCATGGGGGTTGCCCTTGTCCTGGAGGACCGTGGGGTGGATAATACATCTTTCCAAAGATCTGACCTATTATCCGATGGAAGAGAGAAAAGAAGGTGAAGTAGAAGTTGAACAGGTCTGAAAGTAATTCGGCTGACTAGGTGGGTCGCGCAACCTTGAAAATGGGACCTTTACACTTTCCGTTTGGGAGTGTTAGTGCCTGGGCAATTCCATGTCCGGAGTATATAAAGTACAACTTCGAGATTGGAAGATATTGGGATCCACCGGTAGGGCTGCATGTAAATCACCTTAATTCTGGTATTTTGAATAACTCCAATAATGGTCCAGGGCTACTCTATAGTACGCGTGTTGTAATCTAACATGTAATGATGAAACAAACGAAAAAAAACTTGGAAGCCACGTTAGGCAGCACTTTTCGGTCATCATGTGACTAGGCGCGTCGTCACCTGATTATTATCCTGAAAAGGACATTAGTCAAGAAAGTAAGATTGGAAGTCCGTTGAAAGAACCCGAGAACCAAGAATAGGCCTTGGCAACACGCATAAGAGTGCGTACGTGAGACTACTTTTGCCTCCGAGGCGGTGGCTTGGAAGAGACGCCTCAATGCGGCTCTGTACAATGACATAGATTGTTCTCATGTTCAATGGAGTGAAGTCACGGTAAACGCTTAGTCCATATCATTGTTCCTACTGTAGTGTACGAGTCGTAATAGTTCCTTGTTTTTATTCAGGCTAGTAGCCACCCGGGGTCCGATAGGACCCTCTGGAACCTTGGAAGGATCTTGGATGACCGGACCCCACCTAATCCGTGTCACGAGAGATTGTGCACATGTGTTAGTCCTAATGGAGACGGATGAGCCGCATTGTTTCGGAGATGTTAGTCGTAATCCGAAACAAAATCATCGGAGCCGCAGAAGGATCTGAGCCCCTGCCAATCGCGTGATTCGTGATCCGGGGAGATCTGCTCTTACTTTCTTACTCGTAATAGTCCTGGAGGCTATACTCCGTACCTAGGTAATTGTTCAATGGAACATCAATCCATTTTCGGTCTAGTGAGGCTCTTTTGGCTTTTGCTACGAAGGGGGTTCCATGGTTTTCATGCGGGACTATTCCTCTTTGCGACATTTGCAAGAGCCCTGGAGTCCACTTGAGCCTCACCTCCTCTTTCCTCCTATCGTCTTTCTTTCCAGGAACATAAATCTCGTTCTTTCCTTTCTCTCCTTATGAATTTGAGATATGGACTTGGCCTTGTTCTCTTTTCCCGTGGCAGTTGCCCTTTTGTCTGAGACACTCCCTTGACTCCACTTAAATCAACAGACTATTTACGCCACTTTTATAGCCATGACGGCTGTACAGAGTCTGAATACTCTCCCTTTTGATGTATTTTACCAGATTGCAACCTCGCTGGACGACCGTGATTTCGTCAACCTCAGTCACACCAGTCGTGCTCTCTATTCTCTATCGCAAAGCGAGCAGATTGCCCGCAAAACCGTCGAGGTAGGCTAAGTCTGTCCTCGCTTGAATTATAAGGCTGATCCCAGTTTATAGAATGCTTTACGCCACAGCAAAGAAGGTCAGGCTGCCCTGGCGGCCCAGTCAGGTTTTCGCAAGGCTGTCGGGCATCGGCTCGCTATCCACGAGGCTGTCGCCACGGCAGATCCGTACTCAGTGGTCTGCGTAGGCTATGGGGCAGAATTTCTTTACAACCAAGGCTACTTATGTTATCGTTCCGACCATTGGATTCGTTTGCTCTATGTGCATGGTACTACCTTCAGGGAGCGTGTCATGGACCTCCGCGATGCGATCCCTCGACTGCTGGAAACCGGTCCCGTGGAGCCAGGTGCAGAAGATCGGGTTACGCTCTTGAGTTACAGCGATGATATTCTCGTGTTCCGAGTGGCCGAAGTGAACGCGACCGAGGATGCGTTGCTCGTAGTCAACATGGCGTGGCGGGAAACCCACCAGGGACGGAGGCGTTTCCTGCTGCGCGAGGAAATCCCAGCATCCGCACCAATTTTTGTGCGACACTGTGGAACCTACATTTGGTACGGCACATTTACCGCTGCCGATGGTTCGGATGGTGTGTGGTCTATCACTGGTGTTGATCTCCAATCGTATGAATGTATTGAGTTCCCGCTCGACCGAGTGGTCGATGGCGATCTTGGCCAAACACTGTGTTTTGAGATGCATGATGAACATCTCTATGCAGTTTCGACGCAGGTTGCCGCAGATGATGACGAAGTACATTCCTCTTTCTACCATTGGTTCTGTCACGCCCCTCGCGAAGAAGGCCGCAAATGGAACGGTCGCTTGTGGCGCCGAGAGCATCAAGAAGGCCCGATCAATGAGATGTGGACTGATCTTTCAATCCGTAAGGACGAGACGACTGGCCGGCCAGTCATACTTGAATGCCGCCGTGAGTGGCGCGACGGCAAAAGCGAAAACCACCGTACATACTACACACAGCGACTTCCCACACCAGAAGAAGCTCTAGCGCCTCTTTCAGGAGGCACCGTCGAAACTCCATCCTGGGTGTCTACGGATGATAATGTTGAGAACGACCACCCCTACGATGAGCGACCTGCAAAGAGGTTGCGGCGGCATTATCATGCCGAGTACGAGTCTGGCTCTACCAAGCGGCAAGAGTTCATCGCAGCTCGCACCAAACACAGGAGTTACCATCTCGGTGCATCTACCTTTGTCGACCTCGTTAACGACCCAGCCGGTGATAACCTGCGGTCTCGAGATCGGATCCGGTTGCGTACGGTGTCGCGCAAGCGCAAATGTCCCATTGACGAGGAGGGAATTGAGGGACCTCGCAACCGACTGTTCCAGCCCACCCAGGTGGACCAAGATGGCTGTCCTGTTGAAGGTTCAGAGGAACGCTTCGAGTGTCGTGGCGTGCGGATGTGGCCTCCAGAAGACGCACCGCCTGCATTACAACAACTGCTCTGCCCAGGCCCGCGTACTGGATCTGTGAAAAGCATTGCAGACGAACGCTCAATCATTTATTCAATTGACGCCCCTGGTCTTCCCCCTAACCAACAAGCTCTTATCCTCATTAGCTTTGATCCTCACTTTCAAATTCCTATTACGACGCCTCTTCCCACTCCTACCTCTCGTGCAGATCACCATGATCCCGGGGAACTATTCCCAAGGACGCTGAAGCCACCACCTCCGTATTTTCCTTCGCCCAACCTGGTGGAAGAAGCACCGCCTCTCTACATGGGTATTAAACGCGGGTACTATCTGCGTGGGATAAGGGATCGATTTTGGAAGGGCCTTGCATAATTCAACCCAGACAGCCCTGGAAGGTCGCATACGATCAGCTGTCATAAGACGATAGGTCATTGCCAATAGTCTACATTAACACAAAAACAAGTTAAATTTCTAAAATCAGCTCAAAATAAACTTAGTATACGACGTCGTACATGCTTCCAGCACTAAACAAGATGAAGGGTCGACTCGGGCATCCAGAAGGCCTTGGGCAGCAAACCTCATTTCGAATTTTACCATTGAAGACCATCGACAGTCAATTGGGTGCTCCGGCATCAGTTAAGATATTAAACACAGCCCTATATTCATATGTGCACCATTCTATAACAATTTTCAACCCTGAAATTCTAGTCGTCCGAGTTTGACATATACAGGGTGGACTCTGAGTTCCTTTACTGATATTCTTAAATATCATATCTATCAGCTACCCATTTAAAAGACATGGACTGTTGGGACAAGTCATTTTGACAAAGATAAATCCACCCTGGCATGGACCTGCTCTTTACCAAGTGCTGTCAAGCTGACAGCCCATTGCAGTGAAACAATATGCATGTCTACAACTTACATATGTACATATGTACACGCAAGGACCAGATCTATTCATATCATCATATATTTTATAATTTATGCATTATCATCTGCACTCAAGCTTGGGCAGGCAGCCGTGTATACAGAAAGTACACTAGCCCATGCACTGCCTCAAGAATGGAGTCAACAGGAAAACCAAGCACATTAAGACCTATCTCTATCTCTAAAGATAGAAAGAAGGCAGCAAACTCCCACGACGCCGTCCAAAAAGGAAAAAGACCACTGCCACAACCCAAAGGGGAATCAAGTATCGTCTAGGCATCAGCGAGTATCTCGCAATCATGTACACAGAACCAGCACCCGGGGATCTTTCTGAACAACAAAAGGAAACATTAATGCCGGAAAGAAAAGGAGCAAAAAAAATGGAAAGAGTCAAAGTGAGGTGGAATCTTTCACAGCTTCTTGTACATCCCAGCCAGCGAATTGATAATTAGATCCCGTTTAACTGGGTGCGCGCCACGGAACATATCGCGCACTGCAATGTTCGTCTTCATCTTGGATGCGAGCTCGGAGGTTTCAGATAGTGCTGAGCTGGCAGTGTCACTGTCGCCATTGCTACTCGTGAGATCGCCTAGTAGCTTGCTCGTATCACCCCCTGACTTGAGAATGTCTCTGAGGGTTTCATTGCCGCTGAGCAGGTTGTGAACAGTGTTTTTAACAAGATCGGCGATTGGCACGTTGGCCGTCAGCGTTAGCTGCTTCATCACATCGGTGTAGTATGGCACCAGCGTGCCGTTCCAGGTGACGGTTCGGGTTACCGTGTCCAGGGATAAGTTGCCTGTTGTGAGGGCCTTTGCCTGCGATGCGAGTACCTCTCGGAGGTTCTCGACCATTGTGTGTATGTCGAGGATGCCGGTTAAAGGGAACACGTTGTCACCCGGTTTGAGGGTGATGTCTTTGAGGGTGGCGTTTCCAATGACGAGGTCGCCGCTCTTAACGTCCAGGACGATCGTGCCAATGTCGAGAGTCAACACGGACGGGTTGGGGAGGGAGGCATTCCCGACTAGGTTGGTGCCGTCTTCGCGGGCTGGAATGAGTCCACTGTCGGAGATACTGAATCCCTTGAATTGGTCCAGCACTGGAATGCAAGTCAGCTTTACTTCTAGGATAATTTTTTTTTTCTCTTGCTCACCTGGCGACATGATATTCTTGTCCATAGTGACCTTGGACTTGAGCACCCCCAAGTACGAATTGGTTACACCTTTGACCGCCAGCGCGGTCTCCTTCTCAAACACGACATTGTACACGTACTCCTCCCAGGTGGTCAAGTTGGTCAGCGGCGTCTCGATGTTGGTCACGCCTAGCGTGGTGTTTCCCTTGATGACCTTGCCGTCGATTGTGGCCTGGGCCCATGCATTCTCTGCACCAGTGTCGCGCACGAATAGATCTAATGTGATCGGTTCAATGCGTACAGGCAGTGCGATTTTGAGGTCCAATGCCGACAACAGTGTCAATTCAATCTTGTCCGGTCGCGGGTTTAGGACCGAGGCTTGGACCAATACTAGGTCGGACTTGTTGACGACCATTTGTGAGATGGCTGGAATGGCAACCAGGAAGCTATAATTGCGATTAGTATTTCGTTCCCAATTACAATTCAAGGGTATAATTTGAGTATGCGACTCACAAGACAGGCAGGAAAATCGCTAGGAAGATGATAGTCACCAAAAGATGCAGACACCAGAATCGCTTCCAATGGCGCTGGAACTTCTCACTGCGCTTCAACTTCCTCGTCTCCAATGATAAACCCCCGGCCGATTCGACTTGTGCAAGCTGGGCGCCTTCATCATCCTTGGATATCAATGGGCCACGATGAATGCCCAGAGTATATTTGGCATCATCTGAAGTCAGATATGCTGGAGTATCTGTAATTTTGCCCATGATTGCACAATTTCAATCGACTTGACCTTTGAAAGGGGAGGATTCCGCGTATATGTATTTCGGTGTTTTAGCGCAAAGGCACCCCCGGACTTCTCCTCTCCACCGAAACGGAACCCCGTGGGTAACCAAAAGCCAAAAAAATAAAGGTCAAAAAGGAATAAAGCGGGTTCCTGGTCGGAGGATTGCTTTCTTTGGCGAATGACGCAGAAGAGGGGAGGGATCGGCGCTTCAGGAGATGGCGATCTGCTGCCAGCCGCGGCTTATTCCTAAGAAAGGCGATGCTATTCACATGGGCCGAGATGATCATCGCTCTTAGACTTGGGGCAGTTCTCGGGGTTTTGCGGGGGATTCCTGGGGAAGATTGAAAGATTTTGATATTAATGGGATCATATATTCATTGACTTTATTGTCTTCATTGACTGACAACTCTCCAACCATGTCTTTGCCTTCGTTCCCTTCACCCCCTGTCTCCGTCTCTCCAGTGGACGAGAAGTCCGATGCCACAAACAATATCAACGTCTCAGGTCGTCTCCATGCCCTGGAACAACTAGAGGTCCTACCCAAAATGCTCCAGGAGGGAATCCTCTTCGCAGGATCTGGTGCGGCGCTGCTACTGCAAGCTGCCATGCCCGCCATCCGCGACGCGGGCCCCAACCATGGCGGCCACAAGGAGCTAGCCGCCGAGCTCATCGACGCTCTCCAGGCCAATATCAGCTACGTCTCCTGCTTGGTATTTGGTACTCGCGACGAGCGCAAGGTCCTCATCGAGCTCTTGCTGGAGGGTAAGCCGCCCCTGCTGGGCGGCGGTCGCTCGAATCGTTTCGCTGAGCACCCGCCGCTGCAGTTGTGGATGGCGGCGACGCTGTACGCGACCGCGACCGATTTCTATCAGCGTGTCTATGGCCGCGTGGACTATGCCAGTGCCCAGCGCGCATACAGCGAGTATGCCTTGCTCATGAACTGCCTGGGTGTTCCCCCCGGTACCTGGCCGGAATCCCGACAGGCATTCTGGTCTTACTGGGATGATCAGGTCCATCAATTGACTGTCTCGTCGGATGCGGCTCAGTTTGCCAAGGACCTTCGTGAAAGTAACGACATGCCACGCTGGGTGCAGTCTTTGAAGCCTTTCTTGCGTGTGACTACGATTGAGATGCTGCCTCCGAGTCTGCGTGATGCCTACGGTCTGCGCTCGACAGTTACCACTCGGGCCCTTTACCGCACCTGGATGGGTTTCTCGGTCGCTCTTTATCCGGCGATGCCTGATAAATGGCGGGCATATCCTTTGAAATTTTACCAGGATCGGCTCAAGGAGAAGATGGATGGGAAAGAGGTTTAAGAATGATTCTGTTTTCTAATATTTTTCTGTATATACCCGTTATGAGAGACATGATTGTTCTATGTATTTTGAAGGTCTGAACTTCCGTGTACACATATTCCTTCAATGCTTTAAATTGTGCAGTAAATCAAGATAGCTAAAGTAATTTCATGATTCGTTCCTTTTATCCGTCATAGTGATCCTAGTATACCACCCAGAAGCTTGGAAATATCCTCGACCAGCTATAGTGCGTTAGTATATGGGTGCAAATCTCGAAAATAGCAGTGCATACCGGTGTGGCATCCCCAATGAGGGTGGTTGTGTTGTCAACGAAGCTCTTGGTCAACAAGCTGTGGGCGTTGGTCAAGATATCCTGCAAGATATCGATATTATCAGCGGCGAGCAACTTGGCCGCACCGTCAAGAATAGTATCCAGCTTGTTGATATTGTCGGTGCTCAAGAGGCCCTGGACGCCGTTCAGGAGTTCGGGTAGATCGTCCAGTAGACCAGCACTGGCGGCTGGGGCTGGTGCAGCGACAGGGTTGGGACGAGGCTCGGGGGCAGCTAGAGCCAAGGGGGCCAAGGCCAAAGGGAACAGAATCCGAGAGAACCGCATATTGTTATATTGATGAATTGAGGAATGGATAAAGAACAAGGCAAAAAACGTGCAGTGTCTTCAAATGTTATAAGCTAGCTGATCTATTTTCCGTAGAATATAACTTTCTAAAAACATAGGAAATTGTCCGAGGCCGTTAATAGCCCACGATCTAGATGTTAAATGAGACCGAGGAAGAAAGCAATTCCATGTGAGAGCGAAATGGCGAATAAAAGAAAGAGAAGTCAATACGAGACATTTCCCCGCAAATCTCCCCGCCCAGAATGTCGTTTAGTGGAAGATCGTCGGATTGAACTTCTCTTTTTTGAGGTTAGTGACTTCGCTTGTCTCAGAATTCCTGCTCTGACCAAATTCCACTTCGGGGGAAATGTTCAGTTAAGTAGGGATCGTCCAAAAGGCTACTCTAACTCTAGATCATGCATATGCTTGTATGATGCCATCTGCATTTCGATATTAAATTTAATCTATGCGAGGATCAGCATGTGCTTAATGTAGCCTTGACCTCCATTCCAAAGATAAGGAAAAAGGGAAATAAGGTTCAATTCCAGTAAAATTGCATTTCAGACGTATCTCATCAGTCATATCTACAAAGAACGAGGTACGATCACAGAGCCAGTGCCAGTCCAAGCACTCCCAGCGCCCCCAACGCCGACACAGTCAGCCCTGTAGGCTGCGCAGCCGCACCTTTAGACGAGGTCGAGCTTGCCGACCCTCCGGAAGTGGTCGTAGTGGCTGTCGCTGCTGTCCCTGTATTTGCTGCCATGTGGGTTTCGGCCGCTGTGGCCGTCAATGCCCCCGCCGAGATCTGCGATTTGACCACCGACATGTAGTCTTGCACATCCGATGGGAGAGCACTGTACCAGGCTGGGGTAGTACCGGCCTTGAATTGGCTGGCGAGGGAGCTCCGCTCTGCTGGGTTGATGAGTTCCCAGATTACAGATACGGGCACAACCGATAGGATCTCCGGGATGAGAGACTTGGGCGGCGGCGAGATATTGGCAAAGTTTGCGCTGGCTGTTTGATTGGCCATTAAATTCTCACTGTGGAAGGGTTAGTATGTTTAAAATAAGAATAAAAAGGGATCGAATACAGTGCGCTCGTGATTGCACCAAGGTTGATGCCATTGTCTGTAGTATCTCGTCGGTGATGGTGTTGAGCACCCCAGGCTGTTGTGGCAAAGAGTAAAGCTACTGTGAATTTCATTCTGTCGAAAAGTGTAGAGAAGAAAGAGAGGAAGAAAAAGGGTATACAGTCCAGTCAGAAGGGGCAGAGGCTAGAGTACTTTGTATATCAAATGCTTAACCTGCTTGGCCCGTCGATCGGATCTCTCTGCATTAGTCTCAAGTGACAGGCAATATACAATTAGTCGCTAAATTATTTAAATTAATCGCTAAACTTCCAAGATTCTAGATCCTTTCCCGTTACCTCGGGCTCCCCCGGATCAGATGCCAATCTCTAAGATCCTCGGGAAATCAATTCCTTTGCGGGGAAATGTAGCGGACGTCGATGTAGCATTGCAGAGGAACTTGATCGATCTGCTGTAGATCCATATTCCATGTGTATCGAGACCTGTGTCATAATTTCTAACATCGCCAAAGCACTGTCTCTCAAAAAAAGAGGAAGAGGGTGGAGGGTGCTATAGATGATTGTGGTGGCTTCGCACTTACTTTGACACTCGGCTCAACTACATGTATATATAAAAACATGGCATCAATTTGGATATCATAGCAAAGCTATCGTAAGAATCATGATAGTAAAAGAAGTGTGACTGAGAAAGGAAACCTGGACTCAAGAGATCATCTCAAAGTCAAGCTTAAACACCACCCTTCTTAGCCATATCGGCCTCAGCACCGCGTTGGCGGACCTTGCCCTCATCATGCATATCACGGTACTTCTCCTCCTCGGTGCGGTCACCAGTGACGGCGGCACCAATGGATCCAAGGGCACCCTGCGCGCGGTTCTGAATACCCTCACCCCAGTCCTTGAGTTGACCTTTGGCCTCTTGTTCCTTGCCAGCGGCGTTCTGCTCGGCACCGGTGCGGCGCAGGTTCTCGTTACCGATCAGGTTGCCGATCGACTCCTTGGCAGAGCCAACGGTCTGGTCCCAGGATCCTGTGTCGCGCTTGGGGTCGTCTCTAGCAACGGCTCCAGTGTTCGGGTCGGCGGTGAAGGGGCCCAACTTGGCGGTGGTGTGGGAGGCTTCCTTTTTGGCTTCACCTTCCTCGTGCTTGAGTTCACCCTTGGCCTGAGATGTGTTAGTGTTATGGTATGTTGGGGACTACACTGGATGCGTACCTGAGTGGAAGAATCGCCAGTCACAGTGCCCATGGCGCGCTGAGCGAGACCAGTAGCTTGGTCGATGTATGACTGACCAGTCGAGGCGTTCCCAGTATTGTCAGACATGATGATTGAATGGTAGATGGTAATAGTAGGTAGTGAAGAGATAAGAGATGGTTGAAGAATGAAGTGGTTGATGAAGTAGTGCAAGAAAGTGGCAGGAAGGCCACCTATATATACAAGCCATGTTATCCAAGCCACATGTTCCAGTGCATTCTCCAATCTGATGTTTCCAAGATTGAAGTTCTACAACTTCCAACAATTGTCATGATGAACTACGTCATTGCATGATGTCATGTCACGTGAATACCCCATGAATGACGCTTTCAAAGATGAGCCTGGTGGGTTTGGAAGTTTCTACAACATCGTATGAGACATCCTTTGATCTGTCCAAATATCCAGGTGGAATGTATTTCATAACAATAACCCATACCTGGGTAAGTTCATGCAAGCCCAAACACCAAGTCGCCGCGTACGGCAGACATAAATCCCACATGCAATGCCACGCTCGAAGAAAGACTAAACCCCCAAGACAAAAAGAATACCAAGACTACCAGTGACAAATGCCACCCTCGTTTTCCTCAGCTGTCCATGTGCCACAGAGACCGACGACCTCGAGATGACCATCTGGTTGCTCCCCGACCTTGCTCAGTGAAGCAAAGTTCTTTTCGGCGGGACCATTGCTCAGCAACCGTCGTGCCCAGGCATCAATGGCAGGCTCCCCTGTTTCATCTCGAGCTTGCTTCAGGAACGGAATGAGTGCCGTGCCACCAGTACCACGCAGCTTCTTCTTGTCGGTCGGAGCCGCGGTCGCAAGGTTCCTCGCTGCTGGGGGGCCTGGGTTGGCTTGGGAAGGCTGACGTGCACTTCGGGACTGCAGGATGATATAGCGGGACACTATGTTAATATGCTTGTCGCGTAGAACGCGCAGCATGGCTAGACATGCGTCGTAGGCAATGCACAGCGCTGAGTCTCCGCGTCGCGCCTCGACGAAGGGGCGGATGTTCGCTACCGAGTCAATATGCTCAAGGAATCGCCGGTGTGGGCCAGGCATGTAGGAGCGCATGTCGTGGATGAAGCTGTTTCGTGATTTGATGCTGTCTTCACTGCCTTGCTCGCTGTCGTTGCGACTTGTACCGGTTGGTCGGTGTTCCACTCCGAGGACGATGTCGAAGAATTGGATGAGTGAGCTTTGGGCGTTGCTGCCCCCTCCATACTGCCGGTACTCGGGATTGTGGCCGTCGTCGTACAGCAGCCCATTTGGCAATCCGGCATCAGACATGTTTTTACTTCCAGCTAGGTAAGGGCGTATGCGGTTGTAGAAGACATATGGATCGCAATTTTCATGCATCCTCTGCAGCAGTGTGTTGGTCTCATCGATGGTTTCGGCTAGTCGCTGCAGGCACTCGGTTACAATCTGGCTGTTTCCTGTGCGGGCTGCCTTGATGGCCCGAAGCATCACAGGGATAGAAGGGGCCCCACGTGCCTCTATGGCGACTGAAACCAGATAGAACCATTGCTCGTCTAGAGATCCAGTGAATGTTTGTAGGCAAGCTAGGTTATCCAGGTTGGTGGCTGGCTCATCGGAGAAGATCGGCTTGTAATTCCAAAGGCAGACTCCAGCATAGGTTGCAACGGGGGGTAATTCGAGTCGTTCACAGACCTCAAATAAGGGCACTGTAAGTTGAGGTGGAACCCTCTTTAGGGAAGAATCAGTACATCTACTTTTTGAGCCAATAGGATGGGCCGGTACCTCTGTGGGCGAATTGCCACCCCAGACATAGCCATGCAATATGAACACCAGTATGACATATGCACGACGCCACTCAGCCTCTGTCTGTAGGTGTGTGACAGAGAGTATAGGGAGATCGTCTACGATAGACTGCAAACGCCTGCTCAATAGCAATGGCTGGAGATTCCCAATGATCATCTCCCATTCGGCGTAGTAAGGATCGGGGAGAACCTCCAGGGGAAGTTCTGGGGAGAGGAAACCATAGTCAGAAGTGATTCCAAACTCGGCAGGATTTGGCACCGGAGGCAACATCGTCGGAGTAGCCAAAGGTTCAGGGAATTAAAGGTATGAAAGAAATGGAATGAACAAAAGTTGGGGAGTTGATAAGTTTATGGATTATACCAAACCTTGGAAGACCAGAAAGACCAGAGATCAGGAACAATCCGGATCCAAAGTATCGACCTTCAGCGGATGATGACGGAAGAGAATGGGAATAATAGATTGGGATTATATTCTATTATATGGACTATACGGTTAAATAGTCAGAATTTTCCCGTTAGAACGAAATTTCACCGGGGATCCCTGGAAGGTAAGTACAAAGGACTCTAAATAAGAAAGATAATGGGGTGATCTCCGATATAGGAAGGGGAAAATGATGTTTTTTAGAGGACCTCGGGGAAGTTTTAGAGGAGTCCAGCTAGGTAGATCAGCAGAGCCAAGTAGAGAGAGCCAGGTACATTTTATATGGCTATACAATCAAATAATAGTCTGCCAAGAAGGACTGGGTGCATCCGCGAGGACCAGGTGGAGTGGGAAATTAAGCGAAGAAGAAATTGAGTGCGAGACAAAGGGGCCTAACCCGGGAAAGACACGGGAGTTGAGGCATTTTCGTGCATTTCCGGGCATTTTCGCGGTTTCGCTTATTTTGGCTTCAAATTCGCTTCACTCAGGATCGTCAGCTTTGATCTGGGGTGATGTCTAGCATGGATTTAGATTGGACCTCATCATTTACATACATATATTTTGTTTTCTTTCTTACCTTTCTTTTCCTTTCTTGCTAACTAGTTAACTATGTAGTTATAACCCCCATATCCAGAAATGTGCCTAATATATAAGGCATCTCTGATTGATAATTTTACTCCCGAGGCCCGAGGTATCAAGTACCTACATATATGTACATACATAGTACATCGGACTAGTATAAATCTCAAGGTACAGATTCAATACCTGTGTCACACTTCCTACATATACATGCAAAGTTCGGTAAATAATCATGGAACACATTTCAAATGAGTCTGAAAACACCTAGCTACTACCATAGCACAATATAACTATGCCAAGCTCGTAGCTCAGATCGACGGAGGGCTGATACAAAAGGTATCCCACGAACTGGAAGAAGTAAATATTGGCTGCACCGTGTTATTCAGAGCGATATTGACCAGGGTTGGCTCTATCTCATGGTCAGCGTCAGAAGAAAACAAAATAGGAAAGGAGATCTACCGTCAAAGCTGAACTCTGGCCATCCATATTCGCTCAGTCCCGTACGAGGCTCCTTGGCAAATGCAACCCAAGCGTCTAAGAAATTTGTCAATCCAGGCAAGTACATTCACCTTGAAGGGATTACCTTGCATGTATTGGCTGACTTCAACCTCCCTGGCGGACGAAGGGACCGTTATATTATAGGTTCCAAAAACAATAGGTATCTCAGCTGCCATGATGTTAAATCAAATGAGCAAGGAAAGGGTCGGCTACTTCTTACACCCGTGGTATGCTCCAAGCCATGGAAGTGGGCTGAGATTGGTGAAATTCCCATGGTACACATACCTCCAACTGGGCACCTGGTGATCCACTCGAATCCTACATGAAATATTTGATGAATACATGTAGTATTAGTTAAAAGTAGACAGATGGGCTCTTACCTCATAGATTCCCGGAGGGGACAGTTGAAAATCTGTTGACCAAGCACGTAGATTGCTGTCTCATCAAGTGATGTTTGACTTAACGGTAAGAAAGCCGAATATTCACGCCCAGTAATTCCTGCCAATGTTGGCTAGGTTTTCAAGCATGGTTAACCCAGGAAGAGATAGGAAAAGACTATGGTCAAATACATACCAATCGTGCTAATTTCCCCATTTCAGCTCTGGCGGCATGGTCGGAAAAGACGAGGACATTATCTACAATGGGAAAGAAGGTATAGTTCCCCTGGGCTCTTGTTTCGACAATCTTCATAGCTGGAAGTTGCTTCATGCACTGGAAAGATTGGGCTCCTACGCCGCATCCAACAGCAATAGACAATTCATTCCAATTTCGATGATCAGGGGCCGAAGTCAATAATGGAGCGGTGCCGGAGTGAAGAGCAATTGCGCTGACAAGAGGATTGTCTGGGTACTGTCAGAGGTTAGTCGTTTTGCAATAGCTGGAAAGTACCAATGTAGAAGTAAGGTGCTCACTGCATATGCATGGATATCAGCTGAAGCAGCCCCAGCAGACTGACCAAACAGAAGAATCCTATCCGGATCACCGCCGAATTTGCCTATGTTCTCACGGACCCATTCGATCGCCAATCGCTAAATATATGGTTAGCTCATAGTATCAAGCACACATTTTCGATCTACCTGGTCCAGGAGCCCGAGGTTTTGCTTGGAAGGGTCGATGTCTGGCGCATTAGGAAATCCAAAGACATTGAGTCGATAACTAACCGCGAGTTTAGTGATTTTAAGGACAAAGCTCAGTGTCTCCTTACTTGAAGGTAATAACAATCAGATCGTCGTGGTTCTGTACCAAATTCGTGCCATCGTAGTAAGCAACCGAACTACTCCCGGTGTCAAAGCTTCCTCCATGAATGAACATCATGACGGCTGCTTTGTGAACTTCCCTGTCTCGATGCTTGATAGAAGGTGCCCAGATATTCATATACAGACAGTCTTCAGACATGTCGCCAGAGTTCCATATCATGTACGGAAGAATACTCCAAATAGACTCATTGGAGTACCTATACACCTGCGGACAGGGACTGCTGAAAGAAGATGCATCGATGGGGCTTCGGGTTGGTGATTTAGGATGTGGTGGGGCCCATCGCAGTTCGTTAACTGGGGGCTCGGCATATGGAATCCCAAGAAACGCCCGTACTGTCTGTGCAGAATTGTTGTATATCCCGTTCAGTGAGCCAGAAGAAGTCACAACTCGAAGCTCAGGGGATCGATAGCCGGCTAGAGCGGCCACATTTACCCCCAATGCGCAAAGGATGAGGAATAGATGCATCGCGTGTGTAGCTCTTTCCTGTCCGAATTGTGTCTCTTTCTCACGACCAAGGTCATTAAAAGGAGAGGCACCAAGTGCAACCTGGAATTGACTCTCGGTAGATAAATAATTAAACTTCTTTGCCAAAGAGTAGAGGCGCCTTAGACAAGAGCGTTTTGGGCCGAGAGAAATGATTTGAAGTTAATTTAACGTTGATCACAGGCTATAGAGAAGAATTAGAATTGTAAAGAAATACTAGTCGTCAGGCTAGTCCTGTTGGTCAGGCGAGTTGAACAGTTGGGGGGAGAAACGTATGGTATTCCTTTTGCAGAGACTAATTCTTGCTAAGTCCAAGTTTCCCGGGGAGGCGCTCTTGTATCTCTTCGTCCCTGAATCGTGTCCATCACGATGATGTGTTCAGCTAGCTTCCGAGTCCTCTTTCGGACACTGGCAGTTGTCAGGATGATCACATGGTCGATCCTCAAAGAAGCTCGAGACAAAGAAGTTAAACGTACATCAAGATCCTGGTTCCGCCTCCATAGCGCTTTTCCTTTACAATCGTCTCCCCTCCCATGCTCAAATAGTATTTATACCGTCGGGGAGAAGCTTTGGGGGAAATGCAGGTGACGTACAAGGCATCGGGGGCTTAAACAGGAGGTAGAGAGTGTTTAATTGCGTGATTATTCTCAGTTTGTACAAATCCGATGTTGTTACACTTCAACGCCGTCCCAGGTGGGCATCTTTCTCAAATCAAAATTAATATGATCAGTGCTGGCTCCATTCAATCGTGTTCAGATCAATTCCCTCCTGAACCAGCTCCCAAAGCGGACTCAGTTCACGCAAGAAAGATACACGAGCCTGGACAGCCTTGAGAACGTAGTCGATCTCCTCGTCGGAGGTGAATCGACCGATACCGAAACGGATACTGCTGTGGGCACTCTCATCGCTGCTGCCTAGAGCGCGCAGCACGTAGCTGGGTTCCAGAGAGGCGGAGGTACAGGCACTGCCCGATGACAGCGCAATGTCGTTCAGCGCCATCAACAGGGACTCACCCTCGACGTAGGCGAATGAGATGTTCACACAGCCAGGGTAGTGGTGCTCGGGGTCACCGTTCAGCGTGGTGTGTTCCATGGCAAGGAGGCCCTCGCTCAGACGCTTCGACAGGCGATCAATGTGTTTGGTATCGTACTGTTAGTCAGTTAGCATGCCATTCTTTCGACGGGGGAAGATTCAAGTTCATCTGTCTGCCAACTCATTATGCCTGCAGGTGACACCATTGGAGCTGAGTACCATGTCCAAAGAACACGTATTACCCAAGGATCTCCAATAGATGATTATTGCAGTGTATAATAATCGTGGCAATAATGGAAACGGGAGACAGAAAAAGAAAATGGGAACAAAAGCTTACCTCCATATCTTGGGCGGCAATTCGGCAAGCCTCGCCAAAGCCCACTGCCAAATGAGGGGCCAAGGTGCCGCTACGTAGACCTCTTTCCTGTCCACCACCAGTGATGAGAGGATCGAGACGGACTCGCGGGCGACGACGCACGAAGCAGGCACCAACGCCCTTGGGACCGTAGATCTTGTGGCTGGAAATCGACATCAAATCGATGTTCAGCTTGTTGACATCCAACGGGATCTTTCCGACGGCCTGCGCTCCGTCGGTGTGGAAGAACACCTTCTTGGACCGGCAGAGACGGCCAATCTCCTCCAATGGCTGGATCACACCGATCTCATTGTTTACAGCCATAACACTGACAATGCAAGTCTCGGGGCGCATGGCCGCCTCAAGATCCGACATGCGGATCAAACCGTTGCTCTGAACTGGCAGGTAAGTCACCTCGAACCCTTCATCCTGCAAGTGTCGGCAGCTGTCCAGCACACACTTGTGTTCGGTTTGGGTAGTGATGATGTGATTCTTCTTTCCCGACCGACCAAAGAACCGCGCCACACCCTTCAAACTCATGTTGTTGCTCTCCGTCGCACCGCTTGTGAAAATGATCTCTTTGGGGTCGGCCCCAATCAGCTTGGCGATATGCCCGCGAGCCTCCTCGACTCCCTTCTCCGACTCCCAACCGTAGGCGTGTGTGCGCGAGTGCGGGTTACCGTAGATACCGGTGAGGTAAGGAAGCATGGTATCCAGAACGCGGGGGTCCAAAGGTGTGGTGGCTTGCATATCGAGGTAGATGGGTCGGGTGCCCTGGTCCATGACGGTCGCTTGCTTCAGAATGCCGGCCGAGGGGCTCATCGCGGCGTCACCGGAGGTTCCCGAGCCAGGCAGCTTGGCATTCTGGGGCGCCATATGAGACTGGTTCATGAATGACTTTTGTTCCTCTTTAATGGCAGTCTCGATGTTGACCTGGGCTTGGCCGACTTTTGTCTCGGAGACATAAGACCGAGCACCGCGCAGCCCGGTGGCGAGGACCCGAGGAGCTCGGGAACCATAAGTCGAAAGGCGCCTGGAGAAGGCAGAGGCCTGTCTCCAAGCAGTGGGAACAGCACTTGTCATTATGAAGATGATGTGTGCCGATATCCTTGTAAGTGGGATGAAGAAGGAAACACAACCCCGACTTTTTGTTATCACCGGGGCATCATCTCTCAATGACTAAAGATCTCGGGATATTCCTAATTTGGTTTATCCGATATGCCTGAGGCATCACGGAGGTGTGAGCTTTCCCATTTCAGGTAAATTCTCCAAGAGCTTCCAGGACAATGTCACATATCTTCATTTCTCTATTTTATGACATGATGATTCTGATTTGATTATTTGGAAAGCCCCTTTTCTTCCGACTTATGGTATTCACCCATTTCATCCAACTGCCAAGTCACTCCCCGCACGTCCCAGAGGAATGATGGCCCAATGATGACGATCGCACTGGGGACCTTTTAATTTGATGGTTCTTGCGATTTTCTCGGGTAAGGCTGCTGGGGAAAGAGATCCTGCAGATCGATAGGGATATATGTAACCATTCGAGGTCTTCATAGTTATAATAATAGGTAACTATACTCTGCAGAGCATATGAGTTAAGGTATGTAGCTAGGTAACTATCATGTAGTATGTAGTATGTAGTAGTAATAATCCAGGTGCCTAATTTTCAACTAATGCGCCACATAATCATAAGGCAGAGCAGTAGCGTACAAAATAGTACGAAATAGTACAAAAATGTATAAAAATGAGATGTGTACAGCCACAATGGACATCAGCTCCGTACAACGCTGGCAGAGTCTTATGTCATTGAAAACGTTTGGGTTCGCCCTTCTTCTTCCCCACCCACCTCGGCACTTTCTCTTCTTTACCTCTCTCCTTATTCTACAATCATGAGTTTTAAAGGCTTCCAGAAGAGCATTGTGCGTGCGCCACAGCAATTCAAGGTCAAGTTCAACATCGGTGAGCATACCAAGGATGCTGTCTATAGCGATGCCGAACGCCGCTTCGATGAGCTCGAGAAAGAGACCAAGAAGCTACACGACGAGTCCAAGAAATACTTCGCTGCCATTAATGGTGAGTCTTTAATCCTCTCTCAACCCTGCACCATACTGACCGCGTGCGCAGGCATGTTGAGCCACCAAATCGAATTCTCCAAAGCAATCGCCGAAATCTACAAACCCATCTCCGGTCGCGCCTCCGATCCTACCTCCTACCAATATGAAGGAAATGCCGAGGGCATCCAGGCCTGTGAGGAATACGAAGTCATCGTCAAGGAATTGCAAGAGGCCTTGGCCCCCGAACTGGAGATGATCGACAGCCGCATTATCAGCCCTGCCGACCAGCTGCTTGAGGTGATCAAGGTCATTCGGAAGGTTGCAGTTAAACGTGATCACAAGAAGCTCGACTTTGACCGTCGCAACGCCACACTGAAGAAGCTGGAAGAGAAGAAGGACAAGTCTCTCAAAGACGAGAAAGCACTATACAAAGCCGAGAACGATGTTGAGCAGGCAACCCAGGAGTTTAACTATTACAACGACCTGCTGAAGGACGAACTGCCCAAGCTGTTCGCCCTCGAAGCCGAGTTCATCCGCCCGCTCTTCCAGTCCTTCTACTATATGCAACTCAACGTCTTCTACACTCTCCACGAACGAATGCAGGGCATGAACATCAGCTACTTCAATCTGAAGCTCGATGTTGAAGAGGCCTTTGAGCAGAAACGTGGCAATATCCAGGAGCAAGCCGAAGCCCTTACCATCGTGCACTTTAAAACCCAAGGTGTCCGCCGCTCTGGATCCAAACTGGGCCCTCCGGGCAAGGGAGCCGATAGCAAGAGCGCCATCGGCCGAGGCCGTTCCAGCTCCACCGCCACTGATGACAACCCTCCACCACCTTATTCGTCTGCCGGCATCAGTCCCAGTCCGACAGGCAGTTTCTCTTCCGCCGCCAAGAGCAAGCCCGCCCCGCCTCCTCCACGGGCGAAGCCGGCCCATCTCAGTAAGCCGGTTGAGACTGTCACCGCTCTTTATGACTACGAGGCTCAGGCACATGGTGATCTGGGATTCTCGGCTGGTGATGTTATTGAGATTATCCAGCGCACTGAAAATACCAATGAATGGTGGTCTGGGCGAATTGCAGGTCGGGAGGGCCAGTTTCCGGGTAAGTGTTTCAGTCTTTTTATTGAATTGCATTTGCTAACATTCATCATAGCCAACTATGTGCAATTGAATTAGCACCGGGATATTATTAACTTTCCAGCCCTTTTTTGCTCCTTTTGCTCTGGCGCACATGTGGTTTCGAACATAGAGCGTTTCGCCTGTAAATATTTGTGTCTATCTCTTTTTTTTGTGTGTATTGTTTAATTCACTTGACTCAGCTCCTTGCGATCTGTTCCAATGCACTCAGTGAATCGGCTGTATTCCTTGCACAAGCTTCATACATATTCTAATCCCGTCCATGGGTATACTCAGCTTCTTTATTTACTGGGCTTCATTTGAACTTTATAGCAGAGTCGCTCACCCAATACATGTATTAATAAGAAAAGAATGGAAGATGAGAAAGATTTCGATTTTCCAAGTTCATCCACTGCACACAT